TCAGCAGTAGTGAACATGCTCAGTGTGCTCTCTTGCTGCCCTCTGCCTCCTTCACCGTCTCCTCCTCTGGATCACATTTCACCTCATCTCCACTCCGCGTTGCCTCAGGGATCATCATCATCATCATCATCGTCGTCCTGCACCTCCTCTGGATCTCCTCTCACTGTATATGTACGTCCCAGTTTCCTCCCGAAGCTCGATCAGACGGTCGCTACGTCCCGAACGCCACTTGTTGAATTAAAGATGGTTCGGTTGCCATGGATACGGGCCTCGACATTGTTCGACAGTTTTATACTTCAAAGCGCGGCTCTCGGGGGGAAACTGAGGAGCGTCGCTGTCTTTAAATATTAAAACTGTCTTCCTTCTATTTCTGCGTCTTTGTTTTCCATCGTGCATACATATTTGAGAGCTTGTTCCTGTTTGCATTTAAACCTGAGCTTCCGCCCCACAGGCTTCACTTAACGGTCAGGATGCTTGAAAACTAATCAGACATGTCGCAGCAAAATCTTAAAATAAAAACACTAGAATGAGACTTTATGGCACAGCAGCGGTTTTTGTTAAATCTCCCTCTTTTCTCGTTCTTCAGCTAACAAGACGGCAGGAATCGTGCCAAACCGGCCCGGCGGCGCCGTGCGGGTCTACGGTGACGACGGGTCAGACTGCGCCATGCCGGGCAGCTTCGTGCCGTACTGCTCCATGGCTCACGCCCAGCTGTGTTTCCACGGACACCGAGATGCTGTCAAGTTTTTCGTGACGGTTCCAGGTAAAACCACGAATAAAACCGCTGGGTCAAGAATTTACCAGTGGAGAGCTGACGACCGGTGAAAGTGAATTATACGGAAACATTAGTAGTTTTGCAGCTGGACAAATGCGCATGACGACGGCTTGTATTAGGATCACTCATGTAGCGCTCCAGGTATTGGACTGGAGAAGTCGTTTCAGGCAAAAATCCTAAAATGTTGAACGTGTGAGGTGTTGCTGCTAGCGTTTAATAAGTTGCTTTGACTCTGGGAATGGAAAATGATTAAATTAATCTGCAGATAAGAAGAAAAAATAGTCAAATAGTCCACAAAAGTTACTGTTTATTGCCGTTAACTGAGCTGCAGCTAACGAGCCTCATTTGAACTCTTATTCTGAAGGATTTCTGCAGAAGTTCCTGCTGGGAAATTCTGTAATATTTTGACTCAGATGTGTTTTTATTTGTTGAAGACAGAAGTTCAGACGTCGGTGGAGTTTTTAGCAGCTTTTCATTCGTCTGTGGATCTTCAGCGATGCTAGAAAAGTCTTTCATCCATTGTTTGCCTGCTATAACGCCGACTCGCGTCTTCTTTCAACACCACAGCCGAGTTTCCTCTGATCCTTTAGGCACCTGGTGAAACCAGAGGACTGTTGGTTTGTCCTTTTTTTTTTAGGAATTCCAGAGGCTACAACAGTCCCTCTGATTTCTTTTTTCTGTTTTTGTTCGTAGTTTCCTGCTCTTGTAAAAACGTCTCTCGTCTGTTCGTCCTGCAGGTCAGGCCATGCCACCTCCAGGCAGCGCAGATTCAGGCTCCGACGATCCTCCGTCTGAATCCTCCGACACGACGACCTCCGAGCCCAAAACGTACCTGGTCATGAGTGGAGGCGAAGGCTACATCGACTTCAGAATGGGTGGGTATCGATAGAAGGCTCACGTAGGTTAAGCAGAATAAAGGAAACCGATGTGCAAAAGAAGGTGCAAGAAATGGCTGGTACTAGAATAAGAAAAGAATAGAAGAAGTGTAAAAATAGAAATAGTAATGAGTGTAAATGGGTTGTGAACTGTCTGCACTGTGAAGTACAAACATGTTAAAGGTTGATCTGCAGCTGACAGTTCAGTCTATTAAAACTGGGTCATTCCACCTCAGTACAATCCAAACAGTACCGCGTTTAATAAAACTCTCTGAAGCATTACGAGTTGGAAAACCACAATTTTTCTTTGAGCCCAGTAACGATATTGCATAACTCTTCCTGTTGGGACATTATTGGAGTAGTTTCACCGTCATACCTGCTCAATGCTTGTTCAAATATATATTAAAAAAACCACATAATTTTAATAACTTGTCTTTGATAAACTCTGGCACCATACTCTGGCTTTATAAAGCTCCCATTAATGCCAGTCACAGGAAGAATATTCTAGTTTTATGGTTGGTTGAATATCAAAATAGAGGAAAAAATAAATAACCAAATTTGCACCAACTACAATGGAGCAGTAGGGCCACATTAAGAAAAAAGTTCCTCCACGGACTTGGAGAATAGATCCGTAACATTACGAGAAAAAAAGTCGTAACATTTAAACCAGTTGTTTTAGAAGAGTTGTTGGAATGAGGGCTGTGGAGCATTTCATGACTTCAGCATCGATTACACGAACCAGGAGATACTTCGTCTTTGCTTTACTTAATAAAATTAAGACTTTTTTTCTTGTAATATAAGTTTTTTTCTCATAAACTTACAACTTTATTCTCGAAGAAAATATTTCCCTGATGTGGCCCTAACACTCCGTCGTACACCAACATGCAACTGGTTCGTATGATTCTATCAAAGCAGGGTTTCACCATTACAGACCACATCGATGAGGCTGCCAGATATCAGGACTCCAGCTGCGTTATTCCTCAAGTTTTGTCTCTTCAGACATTGATCCACAGATTGGCATAAAAAAAAAAAAAACGACGCAAAAATCGACATGACTTCACCTTCTTCAAGAATATTTAACTCAAAAGTCCAGATTCTTCACGATCAACTTGATTAATATTCACAAGATGAAGAAGGTCAGGTGTGAATTTATTGAAAAAAAAAAAGTTGAATTTAGGTCAAACTGGTGTAAATAGGCGTTGATGTCTCTGCTTTCGACTCATGGTCTTCCTCCCCAGGCGATGACGGCGGCGAGCTGGACGGTTTATCGGAGCCGACGGCCAGCCAGCAGTCGGCGCCCACCAAGGCCGAGCGGAGCCACCTCATCGTCTGGCAGGTCACGACTTCTCACGACTGAAAAACCGTCACAGACTGTTGTGTTGAAGAAGCCAGGGGCGTCCGAACCCCCGCATGCCCTCCTCCTCCTCCTCCTCCTCCCAGTTTTTAAATTCATATTACTGATCGTTCTTAATGCCTGAGTAGTCGACTCCTTTGTAAAGAAAACAAAACGACACAAAAAACAATTATTTTTAGTCCATGTTTTGTACATTTTATTCTTTGAAATAGATTTATGTTAACTTAAAGAATTCGTCCAGGCGTTCCCCTTCTGCACGGTCAGGTTCCATCAGGTAAATGTTTGTCCCCCGGAAAGGGGTTTTGGATGTGAAAGATTAAAGGGAATTTAATTTTTTGAAGCAGCTTTTTGCAGACGTTAAAAAAAAAACAAAAAGAAGAAGCAGTTTTGAGTTGCACTAAAGCGTATTTTATATAAGACTCATTAGGACTGCATTTGTAACCCACTCACTGACCTCCGCTGAAGATCTCTGTGACAGGTGGAGGCGAAAACGTGGTCTCTTTACTCCACTCTGTTGCATAATTAAATGTGCTTCTAGTCAGCAGACGTTGTAGGAAACAGTTTGAGAGGCTGAATGAAAGCAGGCTGTGAGAATAACGTAGAAGAAGCAGCTCGCTGTGCTGTAGCCCGTCTGAGGGAGTCCCGTGTGCTCGAAGCTCGTCCCTGCCTGCGGCGCCAACTCAGTGCTTCCTGTTTGCTTCGGCTCGTTGGCACTTTAACGTGTTTAGATGTGAGTCGAGTTTGGGACGAACGAAGGGAATGACTGAAAGGAAGGTGGCAACCAAAGGATGAAAGAAGAAGAATCGCTGTGAAACTGTTTGTGAGGTGAATGATTCGGAGGTGTATATTTTGAAGGGAAATTAATTAAAAATAATGGCGCGGCACCTTGAAGCGGCGCTACAGAGAGTCTCTCCCGATCGCTTCATCGTTCCTCGTTTTACCGTTCCGTCCGGAGGCCTGGGAAGCGATGTGTTTTTGTTTTTTTTGTCGTTATTTTGGACGTCGTGCGTGTTTTGTATTCATTCGTGTCATCGAGTAACGAGTAATTTGATGATAACACGGTAGCAGGACGCCAGTATCAAGCAGATGTTTTAGTTTGTTTTTATATCCGAGCTCGGTCTTCTGTCCATTTCAGAACACTAACTTGTGTTTTTTGCCATTCCAGTATTTATTTCCTTCGTCATGGAGCCTGTCCGGGTTCAGAATGTAACTTTCTACATGAGCAAAATATCACAGGAGGCTATTGTGAACAAAATAGTCCGATGAGTTTACATGATTGTTAATAATGGTTCCAAAAACAATAAATAGATTCATGTAATCACGTTGGCAAGTTTTTTTTTTGACGAGATCAAAGCGTGCGAACTTGGGAGGGAAACAAAAAGAAGAAGAAACACGTTCATGTACTAAAGCTATGCATGTTTTTTTTTTTTTTTAAAAAGAGAACACCGCTCTGTCGTCGGCTTCGGTTTATTGCCACCGTTTTGGGTGGGGTGGATGTATGCGTGCCTGTTTGTGTGTAGAGTACACGTGTACATGTAGGAGCCTGAACACATTGTGCGTGTGTTTGATTTTCCAAGTGTGTGGTGTATGTGTGCATACTGTGTGTCCATCTGTAAAAGCCCAGAGGCCGCTCACGTTTACCTCCTCTGGACGCCATGACGGTGGTTCCTCCTGGTCGATGTTTGCTAAAAAAGAAAACCACACAAAAAAAAACAACAGTATCATAGCCTTATTTTTAACAATCTATTAAACTCAGTTTCATGGAGAAGTCGCTGTGTCTTGTTCTTTTTTTTTTACTTAAAGCTGCAGTAAAGTCGTGTTAAAAACTGTGATTTAATCATAGAGTTTTGTACAATTAGTGTTATTATTTCTCTGCTATAAGTTGGGAAAAGGTGATTCAGAAATCAGTTTGCTAACTGTCCATCAAACAAGGAGATTAGTTTTTCGGGATTAAATCAAAATCTA